AGAGAAGCTGGGCTGAAAAATCTCAAGAGTGAAGCTGAATCCAGGTTTTCCCATATGTTCTCCTACTTTCACCACATGGCCTCCTTTTTTATGAATAAAGACTCTCTGAGAACTGCATTCTGAAGTTAAACTAGATCAGTGTTTCTCAACCTTGACAAGATATGCAGACTTCTTGCTCATGCTAGCTGGGAAATTCCGGAAGCTGAAATCCACACGTCTTAAAGTTGCTTTGGTTGAGAAAACACTGGACTAGAGGCATGTCAAGTACAGTATATGAAAGACGGTCCAAGCAGCATACTTCCATTGCTTTTCTCATCTCCTTGCAAAAATAGTCCTTCCTGGCCTAAACGAACTCATAATCTGTAAAAAGCAGATTCTTATGCTTCTCCACGTTATGTTGTTCAGCCATCCCATCTGTTCCACCCCTACTGTTGTATGTTATTAGGTGATGTGAAATATGAGTGTGGACACCTGGCATCAAACAACAAAAATCTAAGCAGAGAGTGAGTCCTGCTCATTCTTCAAGGGTTCTGTAAATCAGAGAGCATGCTAAATCTGATGGAGGAGAGAACTGGGGAGGCAAGGGTTGAAATTTGTGTTGAAATGTCAATAACATAGACTACAATTCTCTGGTTAATTTAAAAAAAAACTTTTATGCATGCCCTAATGGGTGGGGAAACAGGATTGCATTGGATTGAATAACAAAAACCAAGGCACTTATTTATGTATGCTTTGTTTTCTGAGTTTTATTCGGACTGCAAAGATTTAGAACTTTGCTGCAACCACCACCATTTACCCAGAGTTACTGCGGAAAAAATGTACTTGCAATTCTCAGTAAAGTGACCTGTGTCAATAGCAGAGTACTTTGAAATTGAAGTATAGATTGGCAGGGGAAAAAAGAGAAAGGAAGGGGGAAATAAAATGCGGTGACATCATCATTTAGGTAAATTCTTCCGGACAGCATGCAGTGGTAAGAAAACGAGATCTCTTGTTGAAATCTGAGCAACCTTAGCAAATTTATATTAGTCCTATTTTGATTCTGGGATTTATTATTTTGTTGTTATTGCAAACAGTTAAAAAATATTGTTAAAGGGTGGGAGTGGGCGATAAAAAAGATTCAGCATTTCTTCTCAAACAAAACAATATAGCAAGCTTGTAAAAAGCCAGATTCTGAAATGAATAGGAGTTGAATTTAAGAGACCATATGTAACCCATACTGACACAGCAGGAACTGCATTTCTGTGGAATAGTGTTTAAAGATGAAGTGTGCTTGTCATTACACTTGTTGAATCTTATCTCAAAGAATAAAACCATGGTAAAACTCATGCAATTAAACTTCTTACAAATACTCAGATGTATCCTAATATCTGAAGGGCCTAATAATGCAGCTTTCAAAAACCAATAGGAGGTTGAATTCCCCCCGCCCCCAAAGGATTAATTATCCTACTGAGACAAAACTCTTAACAGCAGAGCATTATAGTTGCATATATGTGGCATCTTAGAGGTGTAATTAAACAAAAACATTTCCATGCAAAAAGTCCCTGGTTCTAAACCTACCATAAGAGCAGTGGTGGCGCAGTGGTTAGAATGCAGTACTGCAGGGCTATTTCTGCTGACTGCTGGCTGATTGCAATTTGGCAGTTCAAATCTCACCAAGCTCAAAGTTGACTCAGCTATCCTTTCAAGGTCGGTAAAATGAAGACCCAGATTGTTGGGGGCAATATGCTGATTTTGTAAACCACTTAGATGTAAAGCACTATGAAGAGGTATATAAGTCTAAGTGCTATTGCTTATTGCTATCTCATGACACAGAACTGGGAATAGCTGCTTATCAAAGTCCTAGGGGAACTAATGATATGTCCTGCTGTAATCCAAGTTTCTATGTTACTGATGAGGAGAATTTGTTTCCTTTATCCAGTGTCCACCAAAATTAAGACATAGAGTTTTGATATATAAATGTTGGATAACCATTTGTCTGAAGTGGTGTAAGGTTTCCTGCCTAAGCAGGGGATTGGATTAGAAGACCTCCAAGGTCCCTTCCAACTCTGTTATTCTATTTCTATGTCAGGAGGCATAAGCTTTGAATGCAAATAGTTTTAATTCAGTCTGGTTAAACATTTGGGCACCAAATGATGAGAAAGATCTCCATCTATGGCTCTGGAGAGCTCTTACTAATCAAATTAGATGATGTTAGGCTGTACAATAGAAGGAAGTAGAATGATTTTGCAGAACATGTGAGAGCTTGAATCAAATAGAAAATAAACAATTTAACTTAATGATCTCTCATCTTTTCAGTATGCCACCACAGGCTGTTCCCTGACACTCCATCATACAGAAAAGCCAGATCATGAAGACATTTGTGAGTATCGCCCTTACTCCTGCCCATGTCCAGGAGCATCATGCAAATGGCAGGGCTCCCTGGAAGCTGTGATGTCTCATCTAATGCATGCTCACAAGAGTATTACGACTCTTCAAGGAGAAGACATTGTCTTCCTCGCCACAGACATTAACTTGCCGGGAGCTGTTGATTGGGTGATGATGCAGTCATGCTTCGGCCATCACTTCATGCTGGTTCTGGAGAAACAGGAGAAGTATGAGGGCCATCAACAGTTTTTTGCCATCGTCTTGCTCATTGGCACTCGCAAACAAGCAGAGAACTTTGCATACAGGCTAGAACTGAATGGCAACAGACGGAGGTTGACATGGGAAGCAACACCACGATCCATCCATGATGGGGTGGCAGCAGCTATCATGAACAGTGACTGTCTTGTGTTTGACACTGCCATAGCACATCTATTTGCAGATAACGGGAACCTTGGAATCAATGTGACTATTTCTACATGTTGTCCGTGATTTTTTGTGTAACTTGTGAAACCATGTGGTTTCTCTGGGCATAGTGCTTTCATGTTTTGCGGAGTCATTTCTTTTTTAAAAAAAATGGTATTCAACTGTTGCCCTGTCTTTTCCTTCTCATGCAGATCATAAGTACATGAGGAAGAGCAGGAATTTGCCACCAGTGCCATCACAAACCCGTCATTCACTTTGGAGTGATGTATCTGTAGTGTAATCTATATAAATATATACACTCCCTCCATTATATGAAATCCTGCACAAATGTTAATCACTGGGTGGCAATGCACCCACATAGGGAGTGTATCTTCATATGTAATACAAGTCTTACCCTGACATTTTAATAAATTATATTCATTGGGAATTTTAAAATAAGATTTATCAGAATAGTTATTATAGCAAAATCAATGCCCTTTTAATCCAAAAGGAAAGAGATATATTTTTAAGAGCTTCACTGGCATTTTTAGAGGGAGAAACAATATAAAAAGCAAAGTTTTTAAAAAAAACATAGGGAATAAAAGACGGGGACATCCATGAGATGTAGATCTTCAATGCCTAAAAAGTCCATGTACAAGTTTGGAAAAATGAGGTGCTTAAATACAGCACTTCTTGTTACAAGCAGGGAACACCTTATTTAAACAGTTCCATACAACAGAAACATGGTACAGCAAAAATGATGTCACTAAATTATAGCTTCTCTCCTATAAGGCTGTGCCACTTAAGGAATTTTTTTTTTTACTGTGATAAAATTTTTGAAAATGTGACCATTTACCCACAACATGGAGTCTATTTCTATAATCTCAGTACTTTGGTGGTTCACTATACTTCATCTCCAGGAAGGAGCAGCACACTGCTTCAAGCAACTGATAAAAGTCCTTGACCATCTTTGTAACAAAATATTAAAAGGAAAGAGTAAATAAAAAGAATGTGACAGTGTTGGAATTGCTTTATTTTTAAGCTTTTAACACATAGGAATTTGTGGATATAACATTTTACAGTTTTGCACACGGGAGAAAAAGTTTACTTTATCAAGTGAGCTTTCTTGCTGTTTTTCTGGCTGGTGAATTGGTTGAGTTTTTATCTTTTTAAAAAATGAATGTTTTCTATTAGGAATGAAGACTTGGATATCTGCACAGTGGGCCCGCTTCATCCACTCATCTGTCTATTTCTATAAGAGTTGAAGAGAGTCTTTGTCAGAGCTGCTTACCTAAGGATTGCAAAACACACACGCACGCACACACACATGGCATACTTCACATGCACATTAATATTCTAAAAAGTGATCTAGAATAACATAAGGGAAATAGATATGAGGGTGGTCTTCTTTTCTGCTATTTAATTTTTTTCTGTTGGCATAGCCATATTTACTCTAGTTTTCTAAATAAACCTTTTGCAAAAAAAATAACTTGTGTGGGCTCGTTTACTGAGTAGAAAAAGAACACCTGAGCATCAACTTTTCATTCATATCGTAGCTGCCAAGGACAAATATACCTCAATGGGACAGCACATCTTATGCACTGGCCCAGTAAGCTTTTCCTAGCACAGTGACAGTCAGCAAACAGACGTGGAATTTATTCTAGAACTGTATTCCCATGATGTCAGATGATCATGATATTAGTGAACCAAGTATGTCGCATCACATATGAAGTCATTCTGCATGACCATTACTTTCACCACAGATCCCCATACTTCTCATCTAGCTTTCTGACTGAAAATATAGGTGTTCATAATCCATACTAGGGATGATAATAGACTGGAGAAGGTTGAAGTTAACTCTTAGAATTCAGGAAGCCAAAGAGAGCATAGTTGCTTTGGTTTTAGACTTGTTTGGCTTTTCAGTCTAACAATATTCTGTATATTGACTTTTATCAAATAACAATGCAAAAATAAATGAAGAAAATTGAGTGTTATGCAATATGAAAGCACCTGGTTTAACTTTTGGTAGTGCTAGGAACTTTTTCTGCCCAGGGAGGGAGGCAGCTATTTGCAGCTACTCAAAATCATACAGAATAATTATTTGGCATTCTGAATGTTTTTATTTATTTTTTCCTGGTATGGAGAAAGCCTTTACTTTCTAGAATTGAAATACCTCACTTTTGACCTGTTGAAGATCAATTGGAAAATAGCTGTAGATATATTTTGATTAATATTGACTAGGTATAGATTTGGCTTTTTTTTTTATTGTGCAATCAAAAATATTTTTTTGTATGCAGAAAAATATCTGGCCTAAATACCACCGAAGCTCACTAATTAAACTTCTGAATAGTTTTTTTTTACAAATTATATTTTATTTCTAACTTTTTTAAAAAAATGCCTTTTCAAGGACTTGCTTACAATGTTGCCATCAAACAGGTGTGAATATTTAAAAGCACTTTCCTATTGTTACTAACCCATTTCCAGTGGTTCTCCAGTGGCCTACTTTCCTTTCATCTTTGTACTTGCTATGTCTGACTTACTAGTTCATAATTTTCATCCTTGCCCAATTTTCATCACCTATGATATGACTTTTATACAGCCAATAGAAAGGCAACAGATTTGTTTTGAAATGTCACAAAGAGCTTCTGCTAAAGCCCAATAATCCATTTTATCCTTATTGTTAAAATAGATTTAACAAGTTAATTATCCGTTACTCATTTGATAAAATCATCTTAATGAATGCATATGCCGCTTTTACAAAGGGTTGCCTAATCATCCAGGTTACAGATCAAATGTTATGGCTTAATCAACTTTGGCATCAAACAGTTCTGTGCTGTTTACCTGTTCAACCAATAAATCACTTTCAATATGACTTGCCAAATAATAATAGTTATGACCTATTTGTACTATCTGGTTTCTATTTCTGCTTTAGAGAAATATATCCCAAAGAATTTCAAACATCAATAATTAATTACTGATAAGTTACTGATACCAATATAAGATTTAGACTAAAAGAAGAAATTATCTTGAGGTGGTATCTAAAATATCATTTTTTCATTTGTATAATCCTGAAAACAATACCTTGAACATCATAAAATATCAACATCTACCTATCCCAGGTCCTTTTAAAGGATTCAATAGGTGTACAAGTGCCAAATCCAGTCTGAACATCTAACTTACTATGTGACAAATCAACAATACACATTTTCTATAATATTTTGTAGGGATCAAATGTGTACACTTTCTATAAATACATGTATATCAGTAGAAAATTACCAGAATTTTAAAATGCTCCTAGAAAACTATTTTAACAAAACTTCAAAATCCTTCAGCTCCTACTACCAAATATAAATTTTAGTGTAACAGGAAAATTTATTAAATACACTAGAATTATTATATTAATGGTATTTATTTAAATTTTGATCTGATCCCATCCAATTCTTTGTCTTGATCACACTCATTTTCTAGAGTATAGAAGACATTGCTTTGAGGTGAAAAAATAGTCTCAAATCAATTGCATTCATGGTTTCTTGGTCTATGTGCAATCCTATTCTTATGTGTTTTAGTGAACAATTCAACAATTATCACTATTTATAAAGTAATGCTTGTAAAAGTCTGTAGAGATTCTCAGTCATCCAGGTCATGGTTGTCTCAAAGGTGCTTTTTCAGGAGGCAACTGGCCTTTATTGTTGTGTTTTTTTTCCTTTTGAAGATGATTCACTTCTCATCCAAGAATTTCTTCAGCTCTGACAGGATAGTGGGGAATGGAATGGTGTGGAAATAAAAATGGATTTCCACTGGAAAAAAATTGCAGACTACGGGAACCAGGAGCACTACTCAGGTGACCCTGAAGACACAGATAAACCTCCAAGTGCTTCAAGGACCCTCTAAAAGGATGCAAATTATCAGCTGTCTGCAAGGAATATAAAACCTTCCATTCCCCACTATCCTATCAGAGCTGAAGAAGCTTCTTGGATGAGAAGTGAAATGTCTTCAAAAGAAAAAAACAAGAAAGTCTAGTTGCTTCCTGAAAAAGCACCTTTGGGACAATGCTTGTAAACTGTAGCTGAAAGCATTACTGCTTGAAAGATAGAGAACTAGGATGTTGGAAAATGCTGACTTGAGCATAAGATGTTAACAAATGCAACACCTTAATACTTCCATGACATACAAGAAGCGGATTGCAAATATTCTGGCCCAGATAGTCTAGATCAGGCTTAACCACATAGCTTTATAACATAACACTTTGGGAGTAGAAAGTCTGAGATAACTTATGTGGATGTAAGCAGTTAGAAATAAATTTAGGTCACAGCTTAAGGAAATCTTGGTTCAAGTCTTTCTGATCTTCATGGTAGTGTGATGTCTTCTATTTCTACCCATCTGCTGCAAGGATTTCCTTTGTAACTCTGAACCTTTTGCACTCTAGTTGACCACATTCAGATGTTATTGGTCTCATCTGAAACCATATCCTGAATGTGAGTCTGATCTTTAAAGCGTTTGGTAAATCTCTTGGAAAAGTATCTGTTGTGACAGACAGCAAAATGTCTTATTCATGTAGACAGATGAGTCAGTTCTCAGTTAAGAACTCTATTAAATTGTTCTCACTGTTTCATTTAGCACAAATTAAATGGTCTGATACCTACAGAGGGGAAAATCCCTTTTTGAGACATAGATTTTAATTATCCTGCATGGGATAGATTTAGTGACCATAGGTGTTAAAAGAAGTGAACTCACAGAACTCCGGAGATGACTTAAGATCCTTTAAATTGTGGCCCTGAGTACCTAGAATAGCTACCATGCATTTTAAAAGTGACCTCATTTAGCTATTAAAGCCAGTCTGTTAGCACAGCAATGCCTACAGCTGTTCTTCCTTGTCACTTCCCGGGATGTTTTTTGCATTCCTCTGCCAGCAAGCCAAAGGGGCAAACATAATCTTTGACCACAACCATATAGAATTCCATTATGATGAGCAAAACCTACGGAAAGAGGAAAAGAATGCCGCAACTTCCTCAGCAATATTTCCAACCAAAATGTAAACCATCTCAGCAACGAGAGATTTTTCCCAGAGATTTTTCGCGCTACTCAGAGCACGAAATGGATTTCCCCCCCCCATCAGATAATAAAATGGATCAGAACAAAACAAAACAAAATTAAACTATGACCAAGGAATTGCCTTCTTCCTTATACAGTATGTAAACTATAGCTATGAATTTCATGGTTATGAAAAAATTATCTCAAATATAGAAGACCTGTGACTATATAACAAATGTTTACTTTTGACTCTGTGATGACTAATATTCAGTAAAGCTGTATATAAAATATTGAAGTGTTAGTATCCTTTAGTGGAACATTAAAAATGAGATATGATATAAAATATAATCAACTTGTAACCAATAAACAAATTTACTGAATGTCACATACTACAGAGTCTACCTAGATTTCTAGAACTATTCTCAGTAGTGGAGTAACTATATTTAATCATGTTTTATTTATTTATATGTGATATCTATATCCTGTTTTCTTGCAGAAACTCATACTGGCATACAGTGCACTCCTTCCTTCAATTTTTCCCACAATCACTACCTTGTTGTCTAGGTTATTGTTACTTTCATGGCTAAGGATCAGCTAGAACCTGCATCCTCCCAGTATCTAGACGCCTAAAAACTTCTTTTTGTAACAACCCTGTAATCCAGTGGTAGTCAACCTGGTCCCTACCGCCCACTTATGGGCATTCCAGCTTTCATGGTGGGCGGTAGGGGTTTTGTCCGATACTGAAGCACTTTCCTTTTTTAAAATTTAATTGACTTTTTTTTAAAAAATCATAGCATTATTTAAAAACATTTTCATTAGGTTTTCATAAAATCACCATTACTGTGGAACCGGTGGGCGGTTAGAAAATGTTACTACTAACAGAGATATAAAAGTGGGTGGTAGGTATAAAAAGGTTGACTACCCCTGCTGTAATCCCTTAAATTGGAGCATAGTTGGGCAACTGGGTGGAGCTGAGCATTTACAAGCCAGATGCTTTTCCTGACGCCACACCAAGTTTTCAGCAGATATTTTTTTTCTTTGTGCCCTAGGAGAGAATAATTTGCCACAACCTAGGATTGAACTCTCAACCTTCTAAGTGGGAGGTGAGCATCTTCACCACTAAGTCACCACACTGCTTATCTGGGTGCCTAACAACAAATCATTAAAACCCTCCTAGCCTACATTAAAACAATAATAATTGGATAGTTATCCAGAATAAACCATTATGGGCCAAAGATCGATAGAAAAAGAGCAGTGTTCAGGGTCTTCTATAGCACTCAAGGAATAAGGGGTCAGGCATACATCCACATATTTCACTGCAAAGACCTGCTTCTTCTCATATCAGCGAAACTCTCAGTAGATCATCTGTGTGTGTTTGGAGTAGATGGACCAAATCATTATTTGGTAAATCAGCCCTTGATGTAATAGCATCCTGCCATGACCAGAATCAATTATTTATAAGGCGTATACAGGGGAGGGCTGCTACAGGGTCACCCGGGTTTGGGAGAACCCATAGCTAATGTTATGGCCAGTTCGGAGAACATCCAAATCCCACCCTCAGCTGGTCCCTCCCACTCCGCCGCTCTCCTCCCAGGAGTGTCCATGTGGCCTGTTTTGAATGTGAGATAAGTGCAGGGACCACCTAAGGCTCGGGGAGGGGGGAAATGGGCCTCCCAGAAGGCCTCCGAAGCCCAGGTGAGGGTTTTTGCCCTCCCAGAGGCTCGAAGAAAGCCTCTGGAACCTGGGGAAGGCAAAAACACCCCCACCCCTGGTACAGGAGGCTGACTAGGCTATGCCCACCATGGCCATGCCCACCCAGCGACAGGGCAGAGAACCCATTGCTGAAATTTTTGAAGCCCACCCCTGAGCATATACATACTTATTGAGAAGCACCTATTACTGAGCATTGTGGGATCAATTAATGAACACACAGTTGTACGGTGATCAGAATTCAGGAAAATTTTTATACTGGTTTTGGATTTTAATTTTTTTTTACACTGTATTTGTTCATATACAAATATTTAACCAGAGTTCTCTCTATAATGTACTGGTGTTATTAGATATGAAGTGAAAATATACATTTATAATATAGTGTTACGTATCATCAATGCTGAACTAAGAGATTAGAGTTGATCGATACATTTGTTAACACAAATAAACTGCTCTGGAGCTATACATGAAGAAGCATCTGGAGGGGTGGATCTGGACAGATAGTGATCTGGGTACAAACAAATCAGTATGACAAGTTAGGAGACGGATTAGTTACATAAATATTACATAAACCATTTGAACCAATTCTCAGATGAAGGAGTCATCTGGCTTGTAAAGAAATCAATCAAGCATGGGAAAAGGTCAAGGTGAGAGACACTGAGAAACAACTGGAAGGTCTGAATAAGATGTGAAACAACCTCAGCTCACAGAGGATTAAAAAAAACTGCATTTCTAAGTGAAAGAGAAAATTTCCATGATTGCTGAGCTCACATCACCACTCTGTCTATACAGCCCCATTTTTTGCTTCCTGCCGTTAAAATCTACCTCATGAACTACTTAAGCCTACATTTTAGTTGGCATATAATTGGATATATTTGCTTTCTATTTACTTTTCTTTATTCTTCTAAGCAAATTTAAGCGATTACCTCTATGTTAAGTTCTCAACTTGCTATCTGGTAAAGCAGACCGAATTCCATTTGGTTTTCCTATCTTTGTTCAACATTTAAGCTTAAAAAGGAAGTGAGCCCACTGGGAGTTTTCAGCAGATGCTGAATTAAATACAATCAGGAAAGCTATTGTTCTCTAACAAAAATGTAAACTGAGAAGTTGGGCAAAATAAGCTCTGATAGACTGGATTTTGACAGACTTTTGGGGAAGGAAGAGATGTCTATATTAGTTTGAATAACCATGTCTATCAACTCTGGGCAGGTAGCTTGGTTAGCTTATTTTGCAATCATTCCATAATAAATAATTTTAGGAGTGATTGCTGTAGCACAGAGCATCTGCTTAAGAAAAACTGTACAGGATATAACAATAGAGCAAGAGAAGAGGATGTCAAAAAAGAATACACTGAGTATAGAAAGTAAAAAATGTGTCCTCTTCTCCCTTAGAATCCAAATCTGTTCCACCCCATGTTGAATCATAACAACCAGTGGAACCACATGGTGCAAGAAATAATTTTAAAAATGGATACATGTACTTTTGTCATATCTAGTTAATGTAAGAATTTTATACAAAATAGTGCTTCCGTAATGAATAATTGTGACTAAAAATATTAAACTAGTAGGAATGCATAGAATGATTACAAAGGGAGGGAAATAATGTTTGGAAAATCTGTTTTTAAAAAAGGCAGTGAATGAAGGATTCCTAATCTACTTAAATGTCAATGTGATGTGTCATTATTTATACAGATAGTCTTCGATTTACGACAATTGAGCCCAAAACTTCTGTTCTTAATTTACACATTTGTTGAGTTTTGCCCCATTTTACAACCTTTCTTGTCACATTTGTTAAATGAATCACTGCAGTTGTTAAATTAGTAACACAGTTGTTTAATGAATCTGGCTTCCACATTGATGTTGCTTGTCAGAATGTCGCAAAAGATCATGACCCGGGGTGGGTTGCTGCTGGTTTTACTACTGGTTCGCAACCCACACACTGTGCGCCCATGCGCTGTTCAATGTAAATTGTTCTGCGTGCATGAGAAGATTTACAGTGAACTGCACATGTGCAGTCACTAAAATCCAACATGGTGGCGACATCAGTGGCAGTGAGGGAACCGGTTTGGGGGGCAGGTCATGCCTGGGTCACTGCCGGTACTGTGATCCAGGACTGAATTTGGCCAAACCCAGCCAAACCGGCAGCAACCCACCTCTATCATCACTGCGGAACACTGCAATCATCAGAACTGTGACTTAGTTCCCAAATGTCTGAATTTTGATCACGTGACCATGGAGATGTTGCAACTGTCGTAAATGTTGTAGGAAGTTATCACCCAGACCTCTCCCAGAAAAATGAAATATCCTAGGAAATATTGAAAAGGCAGAATATTACATTTTCCTGGATGTGAAAAGGGAGAAACATGTTTTAAAGACAGAATAGCTCCCTGCAGCTTCCTGCCCATTCCCCTTTGTCAATGGGCCATTAAGATGTCCAAGCCAGTCCCTTTACATAATAAAGAGTTCTCCTCTTCAGCTCCAGGGTGATGGGATTAAGGCATGATTAGCCTTTACCCACTCACCATATGGCATCTGAGAACTCAACCAAATGTGGATTCAAAACACAGCCTAGAGAGTTGCCCCTGCATGGCCCCATGGGAGTCTGACAACCAATCAGAATACAAGATCAAGATCAAAGGCCAAAGATAGGCATAAAACCAGGGACTTTCCTCATCTCAGCTCTTCTCTTCTTCCTCACCCAACATTGAAGCATGTGATCATCTTTTCTGTTAAGGGCTCAAGCCATGTGGTCCTGTTCACCATTAAACCATCTTTCCAAGCAGCCTCCATGTCTCCAGTGTCTTTTTCCCCACTTGGAGCCGAACCCAGAAGGACATTTCTTTCAACAATGTGAAATATGGTCATCAGCCACTTTTTTCAGTGCCATTGTAACTTTGAATGATCACAAAATGATTTTAAGTCAAGTATTACATTTTTACTGATGCAACTAATATTATTTTATTTTCCATGCAGTACTTTATTTGCTGGCTGGATATGGGGGGGGGGGGGGGGTGGATTGTATACCCAAGATACTGTGAAAGCTGAACAATACAGTTGGGACCTGGAAATCTGACCAAAGCAGCTGGAGAAAACTAGGGTAGAAAAGATGGATTCTTGAAAATTCATAGCAGGCCATGTGGCCTATACAGCTTCCCTCTTCAGAAGGAAATGGGCATTTAGGAAACACCCCTCAGCAGTTTTCTCCCTTTGTTAATGCCAGGAAACAAGCTGTATTAGCCAATAAATCAGAAACCACTGTCCACGTGTCCCATGAAGTTGCAATGTTGCAACATCTATCATTTAATGCACTTGTTACTCAAGTTCTGAAAGGTAAAGAATTGCTCAAATTCAGTTCGTGGTGTACTATATGGACAGGTCCCTGCAATTTTCCAATCTGCTCTACAGCGTTACGATTTCCGGGTAGCCTTGAATTACTAATCACGCCAGATCTACTTGGCTCTTTTTCCGAGATGAGTTAAGGTCTGCTACATGCTGCCCCCTGCTGCAAACGTATTTTTAAAAAGAGGCAACAGGACTGAACACGCAGAAGCCAAACCTCTTATCACTTGCTGCATGAGGCGTCATAATTTATTAGCGTTGCTAATAAACGTGCACGACCAAACATTCCAGACGGAGAAAAGAACCAGCCTGAAAAGTTTCTTATCGATGAACAGGCAAACGGGGTCAAGGAATCTAACCTCAAAGGGAGGTCGGGATACAAGGCACCCGCACCCGCACCCGAAGCACCAACAAATAAGCCACGCGGAATGAACAGCTAGTAACGGATGGAGTTTCCGCCCAGCCGTGACAAGGAGCGCTTGAGCTCCTTCCCTTGAAGTCCCGGGAGAGTCGAGTCCTGCTGCGCCGTCTCCCGAGAGACTAGAATGCAAAACATTTCACGTCACAATGCACAGAGAACATCGGTTCTCCAAGCAACCCGTGGCGTTTTAAAGGAGCCGTCTGAAGTGTAGTGAGAGAGAGTTGGCGCGCGGATGATGGAAGGATTTTCTCAGACCCCACGGAAAAATCGGGATGGAGGCAGCGATTCAGGTGCTGGTCTAGCCTCGAATGCTCTGTACCATCGGGGTCCTAGAGAAACACGCGAAGAAGTCACTGAAAAAGAGTATGGTAGGATAGAAAAAGGGGCGTTTGAGGTGTGCCGCCCCTCAGGGACTTGGGCGCAGACCGCAAGAAGCGAGGAACACGCGTGAGTTTAGTGTCACGTGCGCAGAGAAAGACCAACGGTCTCCAAAAGCAGAAGTGTTGTTATACTCGGCTAATAAACGCCCGTCAGTTGATGAGGGTTTTCTTAATGGGGGTTTAGCGCACACAGAATAGCCGTTTTTCGTCTGAACGTTGCTTAAAAGTTCAAGCTTAGATCGAGCTTTACGAATCTTCTTGTAAATGATGAATGGAAGTTACTCCTTTATATATAGCTTGTTCCTGTTTTTTATGGGAATTGAAAGTGGTGAACTTGGGGGCCTTCTAATTTTAGTGCCACAACAACAACTCTGGGGAGTAAGAATTTCAGAGCCCTGAAAATTGGAAGGGTGAGTAGATGTGGAACACCAATGTGTGTGGTTGGTATCAACTATGAAAGAGGTTTGGGAAAGAGCTGGAGAGAGCAGCCAGATGTTCTCCAGTGCAGAGCATTTCTCCATTTCAACATTATAAATACTCTGGGAACACTTATTTGTTGGTTCCATCCTTCATGTTGTCCGCAGCTGTTGAGCAGAAGAAACGTAAATCGTCCTTAAGTGTTTCTCTCCCTCTCGCAACCTTTAGCATAGAGGTGTATAAAATCGGTAAGATTTCTTGCACCACATCTAGAAAAGAATCCAGCAATTGCATTGATTTGAAACCGGTAAATAACAGACAGGATTTAAGTAACAGGGGTAGGATAGGATCAGCAAGGGGCTCAGGCAGTTTCATCCTGGTTTAGTTTTTTTATGCAAACATTTGGGCAGAAAGCACTTTGGCTCACTAGTGAAATCAAGGCCTAAGGAGATTGGATCAATTCACCCAATAAGCACTGTGGTTGAGTGGAGGCTTGAATTTATGGCTCCCTGGTCCAAGCCCAGAACCACCGATTTGGTAATTTCTTTCCCTTTTTACATCTTCCCAAGGCAAAATTCCAAGAATAGACTTTTCTCTTACGGTGTTATCATGGGAATGGTTGAGGAATTTTTGCTGTCAGAACTGTAGACACACTCATACATTTCATTCTTGTATTATCTGGCTCAAAGGAGATTAGGATGGGAGATGAGATAATTTCTGTCAGTGAGATATATACCTCTTACATGAGTCTATCTCTTGTATTTATATCATATATTTGTCTAATCCTGTGGGTTTAAACTAATTTGAATTTTACTTAATGTGATTCAAAATCTAGTTTTTATGTTCAATAGGCAGTATCCATAGATACATAATGTGGTTAATGGATCTCAGTGGTATCTTACTGTAAAAGTATAGTTTCTGTAGTTAAACACAATCACAATCACTAAACATTTCAGATTTTTTTTTGCCAACATAGTTTATTCATGATGTATCAGCTATGTGGCATGTGTGAAATAAAAAGAAGTTGACAGTATCTAATCCAGTGGTAGTAAACCTGGTCCCTACCGCCCACTAGTGGGCGTTCCTGCTTTCATGGTGGGCGGTAGGGGTTTTGTCTGATACTAAAGCACTTTCCTTTTTTTTTAAATTTAGTTGACTTTTTAAAAAAAATTCATAGCATTATTCAAAAACATTTTCATTAGGTTTTCATAAAATCACCATTACTGTGGAACCGGTGGGCGGTTAGAAAATTTTACTACTAACAGAGATACAAAAGTGGGCGGTAGGTATAGAAAAGTTGACTACCCCTGATCTAATCTGTCATCCACCACTGTTGAGAGAAGGGAGTATGTCTGTCAAAATCTTCAAGATGTTGGATATAATGTTACAATCCAAGGCCTGTCCCACCATTTTGCAGATTTTGGCCATCCCTTTCTTCCCTATCCCAAATGCCTCACCGTTATCCTTCTTTACAAATAATCTGATGTTGTCTAAGTTATGTTTGGTTTTTAAAGTAAGGAACATAGGATGAGCAGATGCTTTTTTTTAAATAAAAAAAAGCAATCCATATTTGTGCATATGCCACACAGTCCCACCCCAATTTTTTTTAAATTGTAAAAATGGTAGATGGGTGATAATGCTTCATCCTTGGAAAATTCCCTCCAAATTCTTTATTTAAATAGCAGAATATTGGGAGACTTGTATAAATTAAGGGTATGAAATACTGCTTTTTTATGTTAACATCTATAGGGTTTAAATATTTTTTTTCTCCTTGTCTTTATTATTTTTATAAATTACAAGGCAGTGAACATACTGGACATAGTATTTCTTTTTATTTCCCCCATAACAACAACCCTGTGAGGTGAGGTGATCTAAGAAAGAGTGACTAATGGAATAATTCTCTTAATAGCTTTAAAGTTTTTGAAAGAAAATGGTTTAACTCAAATCCATGAGATGTATCATGATTTTTAAATCCCATTTTAGGTCTCAGTCAAAGCAGTGACTGATCCCACAGAGATCTCCTTGGAAATAGATGAGGTTGAACTAAGACTGGAATCAAATCCTGAAACATGAAATTTGCTTGATAAGTTTCGGTCAATCTTTCAGTCTAAACTATTGCTTAGCGTTATAAAAACATTGGGTGGAGAAAGAACCATGTATTTACCTTTTGACCTTTTAAAGAGAGGTCAAATTTTATTTTATCAAATAAATATTCTTAACTTCTCACCTATGATTTTCTCTGGATGGAATGGGGATCGTATTTAGCATTTTTCAGTTCATAATTCAAAACCTAGTAAATTCATCCATATATTTATAATAAGTGTCTGTATTTACCAGATAGCAAAGATGCCGGAGAAGGAAGTTCATCTTCTGAAGCTGATAATTCTGATAAGTAAGTGAATGGTAAAAATTGTTTTCTTTTTATCTATAGTTCATCAGAGTATTGCAAAGAAAATGAATATACTCTCAAAGCCATCCAATAAAATTCATTAATAATAAATTTAGGCTAAAAGTCCGAAAGTAATTTCCCTATGCTTCACACCATTAACTTATGGTATTAGTTGCCAAAGATGTGGCAATTGGAAGACTTAAAGCAACAGGATGAATTAGGTAGTGTTATGGAAACTAATAGAAATCTCTCACAGCTACAAGTAGCCAGCTAAATGCAAACACAACTGTCTCACTTGAATGGCTTGTCCCACAGAATTATCTGGCAAAAAATTCAGATCGGTCCCTTGATCTTTCAATAATCTACTAGAATTTATTGATCCTTAGTACCAACCATTCACATTTAGACTCTCAGTCTATGCACAAGAGAATAATTGCTACAATTTCAATAGGAAGTGGTCAGCTTTAGTAAGAGAAGTTATATAAAATCCTACACTTTTGAATTAGCATTCTCCTGAAAAAGCTGGTAAATGTCTTAGTAAAGTTATCTTCATTGGCCCCAGTGCTGCCATTGTAGCAATACGTTCCCTATAAACTGACATCGATTTATTCTCAATACAGTGCACTGGAAGACAATGTGACAATTCCAGAGCAGACTACAATTGAGCCCATAATTTCTGTTGTTAGGTAAGGCAAATGTTAAGTGAATTTTGCCCCAGTTTATGACGTTTCTTGCCACAGTTGTTAAGTGAATCATTACAGTCGTTAAGTTAGTAACACAGGTGTTAAGTGAATCTGGCTTCCCCATTGACTTTGCTCATCTGTATTGTATTGTATTTGTATTTATTTGTCTTGTATGCCGCCCACTCCCGAAGGACTCCGGGCGGCTCACAAT